GCGCGCGATGTGGTTGGTAGGGAACTTCATCGTTACATGAGTATTCGGTAAGGGCTTGGTTGAGTGTTGATGCAAGGTTCTGGACGTCGGATGGAGAAATGTTGTGGAGGAGGGATTGGATGTCGGCGTCGGAGAGGACGGTAAAAGTCATGGTGGTTACGAGAAGGGCCGACTTCAGATGTCCGGGAACTTGGTGAACTGCGTTCGATGAACTTTATGCTGATCGTGCGATGGATTCCTTCCTTGTCTTCCTTTCTGCGCCCTATCTCGGTGTAATTTGCTGTTGCCTAGTGTTGACGTTGCCGTTGTATGCGGAGATGCTTGCCTGCGGGTACTGTCGGGCCACTGCCCCACTATATCCTTGGGCAATGGGCAAAGGATAACAAAACAGCGATATAATCGTACGCATCGACACATTCCTTGTGTGGAAAGGCAAAGCCGTCGCGCAGAATAAATTTATGCAAATGACACGTCGTCCACAATTCCCTTCTTCCCTAGCACGGCACACCATAGCTTATCCTGATTGTCATTGACTTGAAGACCGGGCCTTGTCAGCCAAAGGTCAATCCGCGAGACAAGAATTTCCTGTCGGTCGGTGGCTCTGGTTTAGGCCACACATGGGAACGTGGAGTTATGGGTGAAATCGGATCGAGAGTGTCGCGCCTCGTCAAATCTCCTTCCAGGTCGTAGCGGGGCTTGATCTCGCCCAGGCTACGGAACACGTCCCCGCAGCTCTTTCGTCGCAAATTGCCCAATCTATGGGTGCTAGCTGACTCTGATAGAGTTTTTCGAAGCACTGGAATACCATGTTGGACCTCTGGAGTCTCCTGCTCTTGGACCACCAACATGTCCTCTTTGATCAAGTCGAGGAACTCCCTGAACTCAACGGTACAGCGTCGATGCTCTCTCAATTCATCCATAACCTGGAGCAGTTTAGTGATAAGCAATGTTTCATCTTAGTACCCATCGTAGTTTAGTGAGTTTAGTATGGAAAGTCAACTCAATAGACTGACCTCGATGACTGCAGACTTGACTTTGGCTCTTTTCACTCCTGCCTCGAAGTATATAGAAAAGAACGTGTCACTAGGTATGTCTGCCATAAAGGGATCGCTTGCCAGACGCCTTTCGCCAAATCGTTCAACCAGTTTACGCCCCCCAAGATACCACGTAATGAACTGCAGGTATACACATCCAAGAGCCCATACATCACATGCGCTGGTGAGAACGCCGTCGAGCTCCATCTCAGGCGAGCGATATGTTTCTGAGTTCGGCATGCGTCCAGTCCGCCTCGTGTCCCAAGAATTCTCCGTGCTAAAACGAGCAACTCCGAAATCGGTGATCTTGAGAATACCATGGCCGCCTGGAGTCACGTCGTCTGGATACCAGAGAATGTTTTCCGGCTTAAGATCTCCATGACGACCGAATAGATTTCTCATCACCCGGGTTGGGCTCGTATTCTCAACTGACCCAAATTGTTTCTGCCTCCCGACCGCCTTCCGCACCGGTGGGTCTGAGCCGTAATTCAAGATGGCGCCAGAGAGAGTGGCGTACCGATGCACACTGTTCAGTCCAGCGGCAAGGCCAAGGCATTGGTCTACAACCCATGTACCCATCTCCTCGACCTCGGGCGTACGCTGCCTCCAAAAGTCGAACAAATCGAGCTCTGCCCATGGGAAGATGAGATGATAAACCCCGTCGTGTTCATAAGTAGCTAAGAGGGTGACAAGGTGATCGTGAGCGTGTTTACTATCGCTTAGCTTGGTGAGAATGGTAGCTTCTCGTCTGAAATCCTTTTTGTCGCTTGATCTCAAGGCTTTGATGGCGTAAATATTGCCATTACCCTGATGCGGTCATTGTCAGCGTTCCTCACACCTTACAGCTGGAAACAACATTATAACGTACCTTCATCTTGTCTAGACGATCATGTTCGGGGTGAATTTCTGTCTCAAAAACTCTACTAGATCCTCCTCGTTTTGGAACCTCGGTGTAGGTTAAGAATGGCAGGATTGTTTCAGAGTCGAGATCAACATGAGGGATGGCAGCACCATCGGCGCCGATAAAAATCGGCACAAGAACACTCCATTGGTGCTCTAGAAATTCCTCGGCGTAGTCCTGCCTCTTGAACGAGATAGGACCAGCTTTTGAGTCGTGTCTGCTTATCAGCGAATAAGAGCCGTCCGGTCTGTCGGAATGTGGATCTCTCTCCAGCGGAAGGTGTTTGTCGCAGACACCAGATTTGATAAAAAGTCTGATCTTCGATGGCTGCTTCATAAGGTAGAGGACCGTGAGGATCTTCACGTACGGCGTGCCATCGTCAATGCTCAAGCGCTGTTTCCCTATTCTTCCGAATTTCGAATAATTCGAGTTCGAGAGCTCTCGCTGCACTACCGCGCTCGTAACGATCTTCTCAATCTCAACCTCTGGTAGGAAATACCTTCGAAGATGCGATCGACGTCTAGCTTCCCTAAGTCTATTCGGAATCTGTGATGTAGAACTATCGCTTGGTAAACGCGTCTGTGCCCACCGCCGCACAAATAAAACTGGGTTGACTGCATGTTTTCGGATGTCAAAGGCATCCGATCTCTTCGGCACAATGATGTCCGTCAGCCTTTTCTTAAAGGTCGTGACCTCCGTTTGTAATGGTACTGGAGGCGAAGCCGTACTATCCAGTTCCTTAATAGCTTTGAGATCTGTCCGGGTAGCACGACCCGCCTCGGATGGTGTGTTTAGCTCGCACGCAAACAGAGGCTCGCTAAGTGGCCGCGGTCTTCGCTGTAGATCTTTCTTGCGTCGTTAGCTAGAAGCCGATGAATCATTGTGTTCAATATGCACCTCGTCGTCCGGTCTGATTGTTCAAACTGCTCGACGTGAAAGCCCACCCGCTGCTGCGTGTGGATGAGTCCACCTCTACATGATCATTTCGTGGCTCAGATCGGTCATCGTGAGGCGAGCTCAGCCCCGGCTGATGGTGCGGGATTACCGATGAGCTTGCGACAAAGGCCATCGTATGTTTGGGTTCATGGCAGTACCAGTCGGCTTGGAACGTGTGCCCGAGGCATCATGCTTCCTGCAGTCTTGTGGGCTCGATGTAGCCAGTGTGCTCAATGTCTAAACCTTGAAGGTCTGCTGGGCGGTACGTACTTCCACTGAATGTGGGGTCCGAGTATGCAGAATGGTGGAATCCCTGCTAGAGGCGTAGGCTACTGGACAAGGTAGGCAGGTGTGACAGTCTATTGCTCTCAACGCGTGCCGTCTATCGCAACCCCATCGCTTAGAGCTGACGTGCCTCGAGTAACACCCGGCTTGGCCAACAATGTAAACATCGCCCAGAGGAGGTCCAAGTGGTTTGATCCCATCGACCAAGTGCTGGAGGAATCGACCAGCATCGAGAAGTATAAGTCGTCGAGACGCTGCTCCTTGTCAAAAGAACGATGTATGAGGCGGCCTTAGCAAATGAATTGTGTCATCTCGTATCGCGTGATGCAAATGGATAATGGCACTGCATGAGGCAGGCAAAACATCCTCGACGCCCCCAACATGCATTCATTACATACCCATAGTTGGTGTGTCGGCTAGGAGCATGATTGGTTGTCCAGCATACGCTGTGGCTGAAAGATCCTTGACTGCTGTGGTAGACTCAGCCCACCGAGCGTCAAGGACTTCGAGTATAACAGCGACAGAGACACGGCGTTGTCCCCCCAGTATCCTCACAAAGATTCCAGTATCAACATTGCGGATAATCATGGTCGATCTGATCAAGAAGTTCGAAAGTCCCTTCCGGAAGCCATCGTCCAAGCAACGAAAACCGTCCGACCCGAGCGCGCCGAATCTGGATATCAAAACTGTAACTCAATCGGTTGACGCCGCTGAGATTGATCCGGAAAAGTTGATGAAAAAGCTAAAACAAAGGTTCCCGTCTGGCTTCAAGGTTCATGTGCGAAAGACCGGGAAGATAGGAAGTAGAGGCTCACTAACTTGGGACTGCAGATGATGCACAATACTTATATCATCGAGGCCACTGAGGAGCTTTCACTGGTATGCTGGTACCTCTTGACGATACTCGCTGTGTTGTCTGACTTCATCGCATAGGACGATATAGAGGAGTGCCGGTAGGGGTATAAGGTTTGGAGACAGCGCTAGATGGTCCGTTTGGCTGTTCTGCCTGCAGCGAGGGGGCCGCATCGTGCGTCGCAATTCTGATCATTACCGAATCGATCGATATGCTGCTGTGAACTCGTGTGATGGAACCTTGAAAGGTTGCAGAAATGGGCGCGTCTATCAGGGGAAGGTACGCGCCTAGCGAAGTGGGGCTATCTTGCAAAAGCAAACGTCATTACGCGACAGCGAACGCGACGCGCCCCCAGCCTCGTGATAAACATGAATCTGCGTCTTTGGACGAAGTTTTGCTTCACAATGCATTTATCTATCAACATGCTCAACTGTAAATCTTTACGACACCTCATCCGCTTCCGAACTCAATGCGATAACACTGAGAAGCTCGAGATTACCCCGGACGACAAGGCTGGCCCCCACACTGCCTTTCCCGATCCCAGAGCAGGCTGTGCCGTAAGAGGAACGGCAATGCATCTCGGCTGGTGGTCTGGATACAACCTTGGAAAGGTACGGCACGATGATACCCACACACATCCCGGCCGCCTTGCGCTACGCTTTGACCGTCTGTTCTGCGCGCTGGTTTGTCGATGGCCCCTTGACCTTCGAGCAGCTGAGAAAAACGCCTCGCTGCCTGTCGCGATGGTGTGGCGAACTTATGTACAGCTGCTGTACCCCATGCCTAAGCCTGATAAGATCTTGGTCAGCCGGTATTGGCTCAGTCGCCCCAACGCATGTCTGCGCTTTCATAAAGCCTCGTTTGAGCGTGCCATCATACCTTACGTGCATATTGACAGCAGGTCTCGAGGAGCTTCGAAATTTCATCAAAACTCTGACCATAGAGCCAAACATCTGGAGAAAGGGTTTGCTTTCCGCGATCGACGCGAATCATGGCAGACTGCAACGAGAATGCGGCATGTCAAGAACATTCAAGACCCAAGGACTGCGCAGACGACACAGATAGTGATGACGAACCAAGCTTCCAAGAAAAGCTCAAAAACTTGCTGTCATCTCACGCAATCAAAAGCGCGTTCGAGAAAACACCTATCAAGTTCGTCCCCGAAGGCATCATCCACGAGCTGATTACGGAAGACCAAATCAAGGCCGCCTTGGATATACAAGCAGCAACAGTTGAAGAAGACGAACTGGTGGGATTCACACGTATGCGCGCGAAAAAGATATTTGCTATCGCAATCCACGTACAGCCAAACAAGATAGTCGCAATCATGAAATGGTGGAAGAAGAATAATATGGACGATGGCGATCTGCCGATCACCTTTCGGCCTGGATGGAAGAGGCAGTGGCTTTCGGAATTTTGCGAAATGCAATGGATGTTCCTCGCTCCTGTCTTCTCGACAACTCAATACAACCGCAATCTCGATGACGCCCACATCTTACCTTTCATTTCCAAAAGGTCAGATTCTGGTAGAGGATCTTTCGGCGTGGTGTCACAGTATGTGATACATAGGAAGCATCTGGATCCGGTCAGTATGCGGGTAGCTTTTTGAACATTTGTGGCAGCGATCGCTGAATCGAAGCAGCCGTTCCTGGATCATAGTTCGTTCGCAGTCAAGGAGATTCAGCCTTCCGATAACGCGCAGGAAGTTGCAGAACATTGGGAAAGAGAGGTCAAAGCCCTCCGAACCATGAATGAGTTGAACCAAGATCACATCGTTCGTTTCGTTACAGCTTTTCGACGCCGTAGAGAGCACGGCGACCCAGATCACTACCTGATATTTGAATGGGCTGATGGCGGAAACCTCCGCAGCATGTGGAAGAGGGAGCATTCCCCAATATTGACGGCAGCATTAGTCAAAGATGCTATGTTCCAGATACTGGGACTTGCCAGAGCACTCGCGGCTGCGCACGACCTCGACAAGACCGGCGCATCATACCGCCATGGAGACATCAAGCCGGAAAACATTTTGTGTTTTAGTAACGGCCGCACGATTGGTACTCTCAAAATTGGCGACTGGGGTGAAGCGAAAGAGCACGGACAGGTGACAGACATGCGTCCCAGCAAAACCACAGCAAAATATGGCACTCGTGTCTATGAGGCCCCTGAGGTCGAAACGGGCGTCAGAGCTAAGTACCTGGGTCAGTCAACAAAGCGCCGCTCTCGACTATACGATGTCTGGGCGATGGGATGCATCACTCTCGAATTCACCATATGGCTGTTGAAAGGGTATGAGGGACTTACTCAATTTCGTCATGATCTTGGGGAAGGGAGCTTTTACGAAATAACAATCGAGAACGGAAAGAAAGTAGCTCATGTGCATGGAACTGTCATGCTTTGGATGAATACATTGGCGGGAGACCCCAGATGTCAGGCCGGAAGTACAGCAATAGGGGATCTTCTGGAACTTGTGAGAACATCACTACTGGTTGTTAAGCTTCCACGAAGGCTCGGTTCGAATCTTTCAGAACTCCCAGAACGACCTCGTACCGACTCGGTCGTCTCGGAGGCAAGGCTTGAAGCAAGTGTTACTCCCGCGAACAACACACCCTTTGACCTTGAGGATATCCCAGATGTAACAACAGCTGTAGGAATTCCTTCTTTCAGCATCACTCCTGCTGAAGCGGAGCCTGAAAGAATCCCCATACAGCCTGAACCCGAAGCGCAAGGTCACTCACGATGCCTCGCAGCCGAATTCTGCTCGCGAATGGAATATATTGTCGCAGAAGATCCGGATGAAGATGAAGGCTATTGGCTTACATGTTGGGTACAGCCTGCAGAACTCCGCTCGACGGCAGATCTTATACTACCACCCTCTCCCACCACAGAAGTCTACTCTGGTGAGGTCTTCCAAAAACCAAGCTGGGAAACCAATCGACCTACCGTTGGAGGGTTGATGGCACCCTCCCAGAAGAGGGTAAGTTGACATCACCGATCGTCAGTATCACTAACGACTAACTCATGATGTAGATAGACTACGCGCCTCCAGAACTCGATGAAGATGACTGGAAGTACCAGTCTGGCAATGATCTTGCATCAAGTTTGTTCGTCTCACTCAGGGAAAGCAAATCCCTAGGGTCGTCCGACAATATCTCTCAATCTCGACTCTGCTCAGATTGCATCTGCCTCCAAGAGGAGTTGTTCACACCAGGATTTTCTAAGTCGTACGACGTGCACATCCTTCGAATGAGCGCCGAGAGAAAGCACTGTGACTTGTGCGTCCTGCTCTGGCAGACTGCTATCCGAGACGGTGGCGTGAAGTTTGCGAGCATCAAGCTTGAGCGGACTGGTTCGTTTCTCCGGATGAAAAGCAATGGCCTTCCTGTACTGTCCATCGTCCATTATCCGGAGGAGCTCTCTAGGGTTACCAGCGATGGCCAGGTTGGATTTGTTCAGCTCCCAGAAGCAGGTAGCACCGCTCACCTTGAGGTGCTCCAGCACTGGCTCCACGATTGCAACGGCCATCACGGATGTTCCCCAGCTCAGCATACAGCAAATAGCACAAAGATCCGGCTACCAACGCGGTTAATCGATGTTGGCACAGATGAGGATGACACAATTCGACTGTGGGAGACCGAACCATCGGATGTGGGCGAGTGGATTGCTCTATCGCATAAATGGGGATCTCGACATCTTTCTACCACACCCGAAACCCTTCAAGACCACCTAAACGGTATCAAGATCGGCATCCTCCCAGCCACATTTAAGGATGCGGTAATCGTAACCCGCGCACTTGGACGTCGTTATCTTTGGATAGACTCACTTTGCGTGATACAGGGTCCACAAGGCGACTTCATGACCGAGGCCAAGCGTATGGAAGCAGTTTATAGCGGCGCCTACTGTGTTATCGCGGCTAGTTGCGCTACTGACCACTATGACGGCTTCTTGAAGCCTCGCACTCGACGAGAGTATGTTGGTCTGAGTGGTCAAGGCAATGGTCAACACCCTTTCTACATCTGCCAGAACATCGATAACTTCAAGGACCATGTGCTTGGTGGTGAGTTGCACAGTCGTGGTTGGGTCTTACAGGAGCACGCTCTTGCCCGTCGAACGCTTTTCTTCACGGAGCATCAAACTTACTTCGAGTGCGGTAACGGCGTGCGCTGCGAGACGTCAACAAAGTTGGATAAGTAATTTATACCCACCGCTGTCAAGATGTTCAGATCGACTGACATTCTCCAGCCCACTCGCTGCCTTCCTTGGCGACCCAGATTTCCCACATATGGTTTCCAATGCTTCCCCTGGCGAGAAGATCTTGCGCTTTCAAGGGCTGTACCGTAAATTCTCGCGCCTAGGTCTATCAAAAACATATGACCGACCTACTGCAATCGACGGTCTTCAGCAACGTCTTCTTCGCACGATGCGAGTGAGTGGTGGGTTCGGAATTTTTGACGAAGGATCTAAACTGGGTCTCCTCCGACGAAGCCTGCTGTGGTGCCGGGGCGCCGATACTGACAGTTTGTCTCGTATTCACTTTCCAACAGAGAGTGTCGTCGCCACGGTTCCATCGTGGTCATGGATGGCATACACTGGCGGGATCGACTACCTGCAGCCTGACTTCGACAACTTTGAGTGGGAGGAGTTACAATCGCCTTGGTCATCCAAGGGTCCAACCAATGTCTCAAGCACGGATTTCCACACAGCAAATATAGCCCTCGACGCTACAGCGCGAGAATACGATTCCCTCAAGGCAGGGCTGCAAGGAGAAGGTGACCTAATATTTGACACGCCAAACGGGTCCACGGCACCACAGAGGTATTGTGTAGTCCTCGGAAAGGCGAAAGGCAGCATTTCGCCGGCGATTCAACAACACTACGTCCTAATCGTTGCTGCGACCGCACAGAGAGACCGTAACGGTGACAGAGTGTACGAGCGTGTCGGGACAGGGTGTTTGTCGGGAAGATGTATATCATCCGGTGGGTTCAGGGTGAAGATCCATTAGTTGTAGTCAGCCTGTCGTGTGATCTCCGCGATGTTCAAACCGATACTGGAGTTCGAAAAAATACTGTAATCATTCGTTGCGTCTATTGGTATATCTACTGTTTCTTCACGTAAATGCGTCATGCCGAGATGGAAGTCGTACATACTCAGGCGCCAAATAACTCCACAACGGCTAAAACCCTCGTAACGTGAGCAAGTACAATCATATCAGTCATTTCCGAGACGACTGTACGCTGCACATAGCTGTAGGCAATACGCAGCAGCGTTACCCAGACTAGAGCTCAGTCCATGCCGACGTATTTGAACCATAACGGCCGACAATCCTCCCGGTTCAGCCACTTCTCGCCGTCTGTAAACTGACCAGTGACGCAACCGGAACACTTTGGACTGTTCGGGCAGTTGAAAAAGGGTATGTGTTGGTATCCGATGTCTCGGAACCAGTGTATCTTGCTCTTGTCTTCGAAGAGTCCCAGTGCGACGCTGTGTACTGGAGCGTCGCCCCAACGTTCGTAGAAGAAGCCTCCAGCGCGATCGAGATGGTCGAAATAGTCGCGGTACTTTTTGCTCCTCCAAAAGCTCAGGTCGCCTATCTCGAAATTGGACCAGAAGTGGCATGTTGAGTAGCCATGGGCTTTCTTGTTGTTCTCAGGCCGGCGCTGGTCGTCTTCCAGCCACTCGCGCGCATTGTTTGGATGTACATATCCCGGATTGTCTTGGATGAACTTCTTCGTTTCTGGCCACAACGTCGCAACGCTGTCGGCGTTATCGTAGATGTTGACGTTGAAACCGTACGTTTTGTTGTGGTCTTGCATCCAAGCAAAGACATCGTAATCCACATCGCAGAAGAAGTGGACGTTTGGTTCCACCCGCCAGTAGTATTGGATGTCCTTGAGCGCAGGGTGCTCGCTGAACATGCCGCTGTTCCACCGACACATCTGGTGATAAGACTTCTTGCCCATGTACTGTACATCCAGCGACGTGAGCAGGGACACAGACTCCTCGTACAAGTCCATATTTATCCACGACGGAATGTCCCAGTGTTCGGCAGGGACCAGTTCGTATCGTACTTCGGCGTTGGTAGCTGCTCGCGTGGCCTTTTTGAACTCTTCGGTAAAGGGCTTATCGTTGAAGAAGGTCCAGGGGTAGTTGAACTTGTGGTTCCAAGTACGCTCAAGGTCGCGCATGCTTTGCAGCATGTCGTGGAGCTCTTCATTGCGGACTAGACTGAGGATCGTGGCGTTGATGCGCGTGCTCGCGGGATTGTTTGGGGCGTAGTTGTCACCGTCGACTCGTCGCAGCGGCTCGGGAGGTTCGCCGGAGGCTGATCACATGATTAGCATCTATAATGGATTCATACCATATCCCAGGCTGCCTTACGATCCAATTGGGGGTCGTGGTCCCAGTCGCCGAATTTGTTGGTCGGAACTTTGCTCGGAATCTCGACGGGTTTCTCGGAACCAGGGGCCTTGAGGATTTGCACAAACAGATAGACGAAGATGCAGAAAGTGGCGCCAGCCAAGTAGCGCATGCCCTTGGGAAGCGCCATGATAACGAGCAGTTGCAGTTGCGGTGGCCGAGGGTTGGGACACAGTCCCGCCTCAGAAAAGTCGCAGGAGCGCTCAACCTCGAGTTTCACAGCCGGCGGTGACGCGGTGCGTGATCACGCTAGCCTGCATCGGGCATGATGTCTCTGTCAAGTGGAGCCGAATCAACCGCCGCAAGTCACCACAGCCATATCACTACTACCGGGATCTTATTTCCTCTGGCGTCATCGCGCGACGGCAGATGAAGGACGCGTTATCATGGCCCAAAACGCGAAAGTCTCCGGACTTACGGACGAGCTGATACAGTCCATACTGAGACACGATCATGCAGCAAACAAACAGGCCTACAGGCACGCCAGGGAGATTGCATCGCGCAATCTTCGAGGGCACCAGTATGCAAGAACGAATCAGTTCGACGTTACGGCGAGCTTTGCCGGACTAGATGAGAAATTCCGTATCAAGAACCGCGATGACCTCGCTGATGCGCTCCAATCACGGCTTCAAAAGTTGGAGGCGTATACGAACAAGTTCAAGCCAGAGTTCCTATCTCTGTTACTCCAGCTCGCCGATCGGCCTCTTGAGAACACCCAGGTCGAAGCCTTAGAGCTGCTTAGACCCCCTAGCCCTCCGCCGCCACTGACTTGGGCGGAGATCCTTGAAGACGACCCCTACAGCGATGAGGATATCTGGAAGGACATCGACTATGCCGTGGACTCTTCGGGCGACGAGAAAACGCCCAAAAAGCGCAGGAAGGCTCCAAGCACACCACCGACCAATTTCGACGCAGATGATACTTTCGATCCCGAAGCCTGTATCTCATCTACAGAAGAGAATCTTGTTACCAAGCTGGAAGACGCGCAATTTTGGACCTCGGGCGCGGATCGCAGTAGCACTGGCGTGAACATAACAGAGCTGCAGGCTGTGCGAGAAACGCTATTCATGCTTGGTGGGCTGAAGACGAGCTTGTACCGGATCGAAAAGGACAGCATTACCCCCAATGGGACATATACTATTGACAACAATCAATCAACCGCTATAACACATCTCCTTTCTCAATTCGCCGACACTGGAACACGTATAGAGGCGATAAGACGCTGGACGCTGCAACAACGAGCCAAGAAGCCACCGTCATCACCTCTTGTCCAGACCTTCGAGGCCGTTGTACGGAAGCGACTACTTGACTTCGACCACTCCTTATCCACAATGCAGCAGAGATATCTCATTCCTGATACGCCACTTCCCGTCAGTTTGTTGCCATTGCACGGCGATGTGCGGGCACTATGTCACCCTATCTTACGTCTGGCGCCGATTGTCGATGGTCTGAGTCGATCAACGGCAACTCAAGATCCATCGATACCTGTAAATCCCTTTTACCACCTGGAAGCATTGTACGAGCAGACTACTCTAGCGCAGATGACGCTGGAAGACGAAATCTTTGCATACACGTCGAAGGTATTCTTTGAGTGCTTACAGACATATCTGAAGCCAATCCGACGGTGGATGGAAACCGGCGAGCTTGGTCCCGACGAGGAGAACTTCTTTGTCATCTCGAGCGATGCACTGAGTGAAGCTGCTTCCCTTTGGCACGACCGCTTCATGCTCCGCCGTAATTCTGAGGAACACATGCAGTTGCCTGCGTTTCTACAGCCAGCTGTTAAGAAAATATTCAATACAGGCAAAAGCGTTATTTTCTTGAAAGAACTGGGCATTTATGATACAGGTTTACATTCCTCACTGGCAGAGCCGCGCCTCGATCATGAAACAGTCTGCGATACGTCATCCGACGTACCCCTCTCGCCTTTCCCAGAACTGTTCCAGACAGCCTTCGAGACATGGATACGTAGCAAGTACTCAGTCGCCTCAAATGTTCTTCGTCAACACATCTTCGAGACTGACGGCCTGATGCGTGTGCTACATACATTCGAAACCCTTTACTTGGGCAGCAACGGTGCCGTTTTCGAGGACTTTTCCACTGCAATTTTTGAGCGCATGGATGCCGGCAGACGTGGTTGGAACGATCGATACGTGCTTACGGAGCTTGCACGGGGCGTTTTCGGTACGATCCTCTCTGGTCCCGACACGGAGAAACTTGTCGTTCGTTCTATGAAAACGAAGGCGCAAGGAAGCTTGGTCAAGGGTCTAGCCGCCGTTTCCGTGGATTATGCGGTATGTATCGGAAGAATGCTCTTATGTGCCCCAGCTAAAGATCTTTCTAGGTACCTTGGTCGATTCAAAACATTATCCAACGCTCGTCCATACCCATCTACCAAGAGATCTGTACGTTCCTGATGCAGATCTACCGAGTCAAATACCAACTGCAACGCGCGCGCATTCGCGCATCCAGAAAGAATCGTCCACCGATGTTCTACAGACTTCTGCAACGCTTGAATTGGTTCGCCGATATCCTCCGTTCTTATGTCACCGAGACTGCCGTCTTCCTGACCATACGAGACATGAATTCGGCAATGGAAAAGGCCGATGATATCGACGAGATGTCTCAGATTCACATCAAGTGTATGGAAAGATTGCACCAGCGAGCGCTCTTGTCGAAGGAAGTGAAGCCAATCCATAAAGCGATCATTGAACTTCTGGATCTTGGTGTGTTACTTTCGCAGGCTGAGGGTAAGAGCCATAAGCATGTAGATCAGG